GCAAGTTTCTTTTTGTATCTAAATGTAAATATATTATTCATGATGTTCAATGATTGTAATAGGCAAAAAATGATCACAAAATATATTTACATCTTGTTCGCTTTGGCAGCGCACATACTACAACTGGAAATAAGTACCCATCATAATGTCACTGAAGCCTGAACTTATATAGCAAAGTGGATAAAAGTTGCAAATTTGATCAAGGTTGCTAACTAGCTAATCTTGAGCTGGGTAGATTATTGTAGATGATCAGAGAGAATACAATGTAATCCCAAGGGCATTTATGAGTGGAACAGTGAGGAGAAGAATGAATTTTCAACCTTAAAAATCAGTTAGCAAATACAAATTGAACTCATGATGTAATACAACTTTACATGCATTAAGACAGCTATTTTAAAAAAGAGAGAGAAAAGGGAAAGGAAAATAAAAGATGCCAAGGAGGTTGTGGAGAAATTGAAACCCTGTGAGCTGTTTATGGGAATATAAAATCACAGAGCTACTGTGGAAAATGCTTTGGTTGTTTAACAAAAGTTAAATATAGCACTGCCATATGATATACTGAGCTATTTCTATGATTCAAAAAAAAATTGGAAATAGAGGCTCAAACTGGCATATGCATATACATTGTGATGTTTAATCTTAATTGTCAATTTGGATTGGAAAACACCTAAGAAATTGTCAAGGCACACAGCAAGGTGGGTCAGTGACTGTTCCCAGAAACCACAGGATCATGAGAGCTCTAAATTTATCAGTGATCTAACCCAGCGGAGGAGATGACGGTTTGATAGTATTATTTTGTGGAGATAGAATCAGGACAGGTGATACGGGGTCTAGTAGGAGGGAGTCCTCTGCCTCATCCTTTCAAGCTTTTATCCTGCAATTGGCTTCAACTTTATGGCAGCTTTGAAGCATCACCACACCTTCTGCTACAATGAGTCCATGTAGCCATGAACCTAAAGCAACAGGGCCAGCCAACCATGGGTGAAAAACACTGAAATAATGAACACAAATATATCTTTCATCATTTAAGTTGATTTTCTTGGGGTTCATCTTTATAAAATTCAATTAGCACACTAGTATTTATAATATTGTTTTCCACAAAGGACCTAAGGATAGAAACAAGCTTACTGCCCATAGGGACATGAATGATTAAGCCACACGAGTATATGCATGTGATGAAACATTATTCAGTCATACAGACAATTAAATTCTGATACAATACCATGTTTTAGCCTTGAACTTGTTATAAGTGTAGTAACTTGGATACAAAAGGACAACATTATATGACTCCATTTGTATGGTCTACTTACAATAAATTAATGTATAAAGACAAAATGTACAATGGAGATTGCAATTGTCAGCAGGACCGAAAGATGAGCCCACAATGTTTAATGGGTACAGGGTTTCTGTCTGGAATGATGAAAAATTTTGGAAATAAATATACTCACCTAAAATTGTGAGTATATTTAGTATTAGTGAATTATACACTTAAAAATTACTATTGTGAGGAATCTTCTGTTATGTAGTTTTAATCATAATAAAAAATCTAAAAGACAGTTTGAAACAGAAATACTGCTACTATTACTATGAACATGACTGCTATTGTTATAAGTTGTGATTTGTATCACACATATTATGACTATTGTATCTATATTATTTTAAACTTAAAAATATTAGGATATGCAGAAATTCATTATTTTACCACTTTATAATGTGTAGACAGAACTTAATAAGTATCTAAGAACACAAAAAAGAATTGGGAATAGAGGTAGATCTCAGATATGAACTCACAAAATATGAGTGTAAATCCACATTCCTATGTTTCTTCCAAATCATCATATTGCATCTTAACACCATACAGTTACATGTTACAGTTACACCATACAGTTACAGTTATATGTAACTGTAAAAGTTCCAAATGGAACCCATTTTACGCCTTAATCTAAATACAAAATTTTATTTTATGAACCAATAGAATTTTAGTTGTATGCAGTTGAGATTCATTCTAAAGTTAAGCTCTCGGGCTGGGGGTTTAACTCAGCGGCACAAGTGCCTGCCTGGCTAGCACAAGGTAAGCACAAGTTCCTGAATTCTATCCCAGGTACCAAAAAATAAACAAACAATAAAACATAAAGTTAAGCTCTCAATGCAGTAATCAACTAGGAAAACTGGCTGTGATAGCAGTGTCATCACCTCTAGCAAGGTGTGTTGGAGTGGCATGTCACAGTAGATGCACAGGACCAGTGCACTTGAGGAAGGCGGGGGAGTACCAGGATTTTGCCACCATCTCTCCTGTAGCCTCCAGCACCTCCTAAGCCCTCCCAAATCTGTCTCCCAGGAAGCATGTCTATGTGGACTTTTCAGACTAAGCACACATTTGTATGTCTTTTAAACTTGTCATATCACAGTTGTTGGAATTGCAGTTTTGCAAAGAAATTACTTAGCAGATTTTGCATTCTCTAAAATAATAGACACAATTTTGAAAGTAATTATTTTCCTCCAGGAGTTGCTTCCTCCTCTTGTCATAGAAATCTGATGTCTTTAACATCTATTTTTTCTAATCCTCAAATCCATGTTTCTGTGACCTGCCTATGATTTCAGATAGTGGTGACCCTCCTGAGAACAGACAGGTGCCATTTCTGTCTTGCAGATGGCTCCTGTATCCTGTGCCATTTGATATTTCTCTCTTTTCTGCAGTTAGGTGGCTCAGATTCTTAATTAAAAGACTCATTCCTATGGCAGCTTTTATAAAGTGAATATCTGCATATGAAGGAAGAGGAAAGAGAACAGAAGGAGGAGGGAACACGGTCTGCTTTCCACCAGATACTGAAACATTACACTAATCTTTTTCACACCTTGTGGAGTTTCAATTTTCCCTTTAAAATGTGGATTAAACAAAGTTGCCAAAAAACATATGCTTTCATGTCAAACATTTCACTTATTTGGGAGGCTGAAAGCAGCTTGAGAGTGTTCGCTGACTCTGCCTGAGAAGAAGGAGCAGGGTGTTTGAGCTTCTAAGTGGAGACTTTCTGCTGGAAAGTTGGAAGGTGAGCACCTGAGGGGTGGCATGAATGTGGTCATTGGCGGGCTGCATAGAAATCCCAAGCTTTCGCTTTTAGAGCACAGAAGAGTCAAGGTCAGTGCCAATACTGGTGCTGGCCACCTTATGGGGCTGTGATTTCACAACTAGTAACATTTGAAAAGAGCCAGTGCTGATGAAATGACTGTCTGCTATAGGTAAGTTGGTAAGACAACGTGCAGCTTTGTCAAGCCAGTGCAAACCTGACCCTCCTGACCCTTGCTGGGTAACAATTGAATCATGTGACTTTATGGTAGTTCATTCCTCAATGCATTGTTCAGGAAAGTAAGAGTTGGACCCATGTTCCAGAAACTGGACAGTTAATTGTGATCTGACTTCATTTCCTTTTTCCCATAAGGAGGTCCGTCAAATGATGTGATATTAGGTTAATATTGTTTTCAGTAGTATGAAAGACTTCAGATAGTAATTCTTATCAGAGTACTAGCTGTGGAATTTAGTTATTAATCTAAAAGTTCTGAAATTCGTTTGTTTAATTTGTCAAATATTATCTATGCTATGTTTTGTGTAAGGATATTGCAAATATGTTCATATAATCTAAAAAGTAATATTTTGTCACTATTGGTTCTTGATCAGTCAGGTTATGAGAATAATAAAATAGCAAGTAAACATAAAGTATTTCCTGTATATTAAATTACAAGCTACATTTTGTAGATAAATCTGGCATGATCTTCACCCATCTATTCTGAAATTAAATCATTATTATACCCATTTTACAGATGGAGATGTCAAGGTTTTGAATCTAAATAATTTGTCTCAGGTTACTCCACTAATACTTAAGATGGAAATTAAAGGTCAATTGTTTGAATTCATGAGCTTTCTTTTTTTAGAGAAAAAAGAAAAACAGATAAAAGGGTAGAAGTAATACAAAATTTCAAAAAAAAAAGCAGTAGGAAATCACTAGTTGATAAATTACATATTGTTACTTTAGAAGTAGTTGCTCAAGTCAGTGGAACAGGTTAGAAGATGCAAACACAACTACAAAGACACTGAGCCATCTTATGTCTGACAAACAGGCTAAACATGTTCTCTGGAAGAAGGATAGCCTCTTTAATAAATGGTGTAGGAAAAATTGGCTTTCTATATGCCTAAGACTGAATCTAGACCCATATCTATCACCATGCACAAAAATGGATCAATAAGAACTAAGGAGTAATAAAATCCAAAATGTGTAAATTTTGTTGTAAAAAAGAGAGGGAGGAAAAAAAAAAGAGCTCTAACGGATATAACAGCAAGTGTGTTTAGGGGTGTTAAACATATTAATGTTTTTGGATCATTGAACACAGCTGTTTGCAGTCTCTCTGTTTGAATGTCTACTTTGTATTCTTTGATACTGTGATGTGAGCAACTATTTCCAAGATGATAATATGTAATCTATTAATAGGTGATTTCTTACTGTTATGTTTTTTTTTTTTTGTAGTTCTGTATTATGTGTAACCTTACACCACTTTGTTTTGTTTTGTGTTTTTCTCTTTTTCCTCTTAAATTAAAAAAAAAAAGATCTGAATATTCAAACAGAAACACTAAATGTACTGGAGGACAAGGCAGGTAGAAACCTTGGAGACACGGAGTAGGCAAAGAATTCATGAACGAAGCACAGATCACGAGCTTTCTTATATTTGGCTCTCTGACAATAACAGTGAAGTAATGTTTCACTTAGTCCTTATTTTCCTGTGCTAATTAGATATATATTTGTAAGTCATTTGTAAACACTGAATGTCAAAGTCCCTCACTGACCCCTCTTCCTGCTAAGATGTCTAATGAATTCATGAACAAAATGTACAATTAAACAATCTGTAAATCAAGAAGCTTTGAGTTAGCCTCTATATCTTGCCTTCATTATTTGACATTACTTATTTAAATCAATTGTGTATGTAACAATTTATTTATTCATTCCAGAAGCAGTAAGAACACAGTACCTGGAGTTAGACTTCTGGGACTGAGCCCAAATCCAACACTTACAAATACTGTCCAAATCATTGCACTGATATATAACTCAGCATTCTCATCAAACACTGGAAACTTATAGTGTCTTTGAGCTATGGTGAGTATTAAAGATCAGGTACGTTCAGGAATATAGTAAGCATTATGTAAGTAATAGCTGCCTTCATAAAGAATTGAGAGGAGTTCTAATATGGTCATAATGAGCACGTGCATTTTATCCAAAATTCACTTAGGGCCTTCTGTAAATTGTTGCCTACAATATCTTGCAATGAAACTAATTTCTCTCATGCAATTATATCTTTATAATTTTAGTGTCTTTTCTTCAGAAAAATTGTCAGTCTTCTAGTACCCCAACAGAAATATTGACAGTGAATTAAGTTGCATATGAAGTTTTTAATTACTTTGATTTATTAAAAAAAATGTACAGTGAAAAAAGGGCTCTGTCGATAGATAAGGTAGGTAGAAAGCCAAGCTCACCAAGATACACGGGGAAACACACACCCAGCTTTTTCCAATAGTTTGCCTCGGCTTTGCTTTAGTGGCCCAGTGGGAGTCATGGCAATCAGCTGTCATAACATTCAGGCGGAGTCATAGCTGTGTGTTTCTCCAGAACTTCACTCTTTTCATGAAATCCACCTTTTCATGAGATTCTGCTGCCAAATTCTCCTTGGAATTCTTGAAGGGTGATAGATATCAAATTATACAAGTGCAAATAGCAGTAAGCGTAGCCACCCTCAATCCAGACCAGAAAATGCTACCACTATTCCATGAAGCACTAGTCAAAAACCTAGGTGTCTCTTGAATCTCTTGTACAGGTCCTTCTGTTTTATGAGGTGTTTGTTTTAATGAATTTTTCTTGTCACCTTATTATCTCCATTTTTATTGCTTCCACATGAATTTAAAATTCCTAATACATCCTTTGGATTATTACAATGGATTATAAACTCTTCCTCTCTTCTGCTGAGTAGTTCATCCATCTTCTCTGTCATCAAAAAATGTTTCTTAATTTAAATATGATGTTACCTTCTTATTTATACACTGAATAATCTTTGAGTATTGTAATAGATTACACTCTTTAGAGCAGTAATACATTCACAGCAAAATTGAGTGTAAGAGATTACCCATCTACTCTCTTTGACAGTGCATGTGTGGCCTCCCTCATTATTAATACCCTGTTCCAGAATGGTACGTTTGTTGCAGTTGATGAACATCAGTTACTAACACAATATTATCACCTAAACTCCACAATTAATACTAGGGCTCACTCCTGTGGAGAGTCGAACACCAAGAGTGGACAAGTGTTGGACTCTCCACAGGTTAGAATGTGGCACATATCTCCTATCATAATACATAGAAAGTATCTCACGGCTATAAAAGTCTTCAGTTATTCACTTACCCATTTAATCTCTAAGTACTGCTAAATTTTGTACAATTTCCACAATTTTGCCCTTTCCAGAATGCCTTTAGTTGGAATCATATAGTATGAAATCTTTCTTTGAGAGTAGCTTCTTTCTTTGTAATGTGCACTTAAATTTCTTAAAGTTCTTTTCAAACCTGATAGCTTCATTTTTCATGCTGAATAATATTCCCACTGTCAGTATGCACTGCAGTTTATGGATGCTTTCCTGTGCTGAAGGACATTCCGATTTCTTCAAACTTCTGGCATTATTGAATAAATATGTTATAAACAACCATTTGCAGACTTTCTACACTAAATAATTTTAAAATTGAAAGACCAGGAGATCAATAGCAAAACTTCACAAGGTTTCAGTTCTGTCTATGCAACTTTGCCTCTCCATGTGGCCCATGAACTAAGCTAATTTTACTTTCTAGTCATCACACTGTTCTTTCTTACATCTGACACTTTACACTTCCGGTGCTTATCCTGAGGCATTTTCAGCCTCTATTCTCTGTATCATATTTCCTTCTAGTACTTAGTATTTGTCCAGAAAAAGCATTTCCTCTACTCAGAAAACCTCCACCCACTCATAGTTTCTGCATACATCTTGGTACCTGATTCAAATACATATCTCCTCTATCTATTTCTATAGCAGACCACAAAGCTTTTTATAGGCAGAGATAAAGTATAATTTCACTTTGTATCCCACACATCCAATACCAGTCTGGTTTAAATAATGTTTTATTAATGAATCAGTGGGTATCCTGTGAAAATGAGCTGATTTTTACCACATCATAGACTAAAGAGTAACTTAAGACAGAAATATTGTAGATTTTCTAACAAAGAAGGTTTACAATAGGCAGGACAATCTATCCTGGAAAGTAAATAGTCTGCAAAATTTATATTAAGTGAAACATCAAATCTCTGTGTGGAAAAATATGCATAGAAAAGAACTTCCATCAAGGTAAGCTGGAAGGCATCAGAAAAAGGTTAAAGGGAAGAAATCATGCAACTTATTTCTAGTCTTTCTCAACTCCATATGTAAGTTTAGAGTACCTCACCATTTATGAAGACTTTCTGCATAAAAGAAAACTGGATTTAGAGTAGCTGACCTCCACATCCCTTGGGGCTCTACATTTCGTTGGATTGTTGGCAAAAATTATATAATCTTATCATGGTTTGAGTTTCATCTTGATTCACTAGATCACTATAACCTGAGTTTTGGAGTTTACAACAGGTCTTAAATAGAATTTCAAGTTCTGTTGTGATGCTGCAGAACATGACCTTTGGGGATTAAAAAAAGAAGTTGATTCATTGAACATTTATTGGGTACTTAGTAAAAAGCACCACACCATTTTAGGAATAGTGAACCTCATAAAAATAGAATAAAATCCCAGCCATAAACGCTTTAAATCCCAAGGAAGTAAAATTAAAATCAAGAAAAGGAAGAAGAAAGATGTTCTAAGAGTTTGAACTTTCTTGATGGCTATAAAATACCTTGAAATACATGAGCTTTCATCATGAATTTAGCAGAGTTGTTAAAGTCTGCCAGAAATGATGACAGGGGGCTGAATAGGACGTAACCAGAGACAAACCCAAAAGTGGACACTGCTAGGGATAGAGTGTGTTATTAGCAGGTAAGCGGGAGGTGGAATTGGATGATAGCGTGAAGACAGCCTCGCTAGTGGCAGAAATGCTGAGAAAGAAGAGGGGCTTAGACTTGAACACAGCTGAAAGGAAACAGGGGACAGAACACTGGAAAACACTGCAGAGTCTCTACAGGGCAGCACATGGAGATGAGAGCTGCAGCTCCAGAGAAAGAAGTGGAAGGGAATCTCAGGTGAAATCCTACAATGAACTGGGGGTTACATCAGAACGACAGTCTACCCCCACCTGCGTGGTTTCCTGCAACTATAAACCTGAGCAAACAGTAAGAACCAGACTCTCATTTTTGTATCCTGCCCACTGCTTCACGACGCTCATTAAGTCCCTCACTGTCTACTTGCTTCTATGTCTGTAATCATTAGGTTTTCACCTCTGTGTGCAGGAACAAATTACACATGTAAGTGTTGGCATTTTGTTCCTTGTTTTTCTGGATGGATTCATATTCTCAGACGTGAAGCATAAGGATTTCCCTGACCTTCTTTCTTTATTTGGTAAGTGAGCAATGCTTTGTCCCAGGCAGGGCATTCTATGGTACATACATGCTGTTTTGTTGCCAACAAAATATCAACATTTTGCCTGAAAAAAAAGTAAAAGGAACATTCATCTTTCTATAGTTTTAATGACTTATCGACTAAAACTTAGATTTATCTAAATTAGATTCAAGGACATTTTCTGATCTGTCACTCTTGTTAGAAAACCGGATGGTTTTGAGATCCAACCCGAAACCTGTTTGTTCTCCTCATCTGTCTTTCTGTCCCTACCTCCTCCACACCACCCACCCCTGCTCACTTGGAAACACTCATTTTTCCTAAAGGGGAGTGAACCCAGGCCCAGCAGACAGAACCCAGAGGGAGGGCAAAGTAGCTTCGGCTTCAGATTAATGAGCTATTTGATTGGGATGTGACGTTGGTTTAACAGCAGTTTTCCTCAACTGTGGTGTGATCAGGAATTTGTAGAAGTTTATTCTTAGCTCTTTCCTTTGGCTACAGCAACATGTTAACAGCTTGTGCATTCTGTAATGCCTTTTTTTTTTCATTGCCATGGTAACCATTAAAACTTAAGGTATATGTGGGTCAAGATGTGGCCAATCTACTGGTTGCTGGTATGCTGAAAGGGAATGCAAATTAAACACACACACACACACACACACACACACACACACACACACACATTTAGACAGCTGCTTTTGATAGGTGTGCCTTAACCAGGTTGTGAGATTCCTGGATATTGAAATTTTGGGAAATGATCATTTGCTTTACAAAGAATTGAAAACAAACTACAGCCACATAGCAAATTCCTTAGTTGTTTTAAAAATGGGATTATTTTGACCGCATGGTGATTTGCAGGAAGCTCCTAGGAGCAAAAATGCCACCTGAGGTTTTAAAGTCTAGAAACAGAACACAAGTTTGATTTTAGAGCCATGTTAACTTGGTAGACATAAACTTTACCTAGATTCTTTCACAATCTAAAATGTTTTTGTGGTTTAAATATTGTGTTATCTTCTCTCTCAAAAACAGTATAGTAACTAATTAAATATTGGCAAATTTAAATCAACTCGCCAATGCTAAGCAAATCCAAACCTGTGTGTCAAGCAAAACAAAATACAGACAAGCTTACAAGCTCAAGAACAACAGGGAAGGAGACTAGGGATTTAGCTCAGCGGCATAAGCTCCTGCCTTGAAAGCAGGCAGTCGTGTGTCCGATGCTCGGTACCAATAAAAAGGAAAAAGACAAAAAAAAAAAAAAAAAAAAAAAAAAAAAAAAAAAAAAAAAATGAACAACAGGGAAACAAAGCTATTCCCACCTTGAAAATATTAATGACTACATAATATAGCTAATTTCTATTTTTATTTCATTTTCTACTTTCAACAGTGTTTCTTTTCATCAGCACCGTGCTAGTGCTAGTCGTTGTAGGAGGTACTAAATCTTCTGGGGGCAAAATTCCTACTTTCAGTGAATCTTGGAATCTATTTAGAAACAGAACCCATGTAAGGAAAATAGAAATGACACGGTTATATATTAAATACATCCTGTGA